GAGTTTGTATTTATTTTAATGAGCTGCATTTACTGCTTTCTGGGGAGGAACTGCCAGGTAGTTTGAATGTGGTAGGTGGCACTACCTAGTATCGTGTCATGGTGGTAATGAGAAATGCCAGCACCGCCTGAGTGTGTTCTGGGGTTTGTTCCTGGGGGTTTTACCTGAAAGATGCCTTTCTAAAGGGGTGTCCCTAGCCAATGTCTAAAGCTCCTATTGCTTCTTCTCCAGTATATCAGTATACTGTGTCTCACATGAGTTTTCATACCTCTCCTCTGACCCTAGTAAGTACATAGAAAGATTTGGACAACTGAGTCATCCAGCTTTGCGAGTGAAGAAATAAAAGTGATGTCATCATCCAGTTGTAGTAGGGATCTGTTCAATCCTGGGTTTGCTAGTAATGTCATATGTTTTTCCTGGTATGTAGGAGACTTATCTACAGGGATTTTTTTGTAGTTTTTGGATGAAAATGTGCATAGAACTGAATGTGTGTTTTGCTTTTGAATACACTCCGGGGCACAGGATTTTTTGAAATCTTATACATATTCTATCTTCAGTAAATAGCTTTTCATAAATTATTAGCCCACAGCAATCGAAGCAAGGCTTTTTCTATCTTGAATATGAATCCAAATTGCCTTTAAAAGCTGTAGCCGTCATATCAAAGCACCTCCCATGTAAAGTGTTCATTGGTGCATGGACACTGCTGTTTTAGCCTTTTGTAACTTGGGTACAGGCCTCTGAGGGTGTCTGTATGTGTTCAGTCCAGCTTCAGAGCCTGTCTGTTCTTGACAACCCCATGAGGTTAAATGTGATCCTGCAAACCCTTCTTGAATGCCAGAAGCCTGAGCAGGTCTGGCATGACCTCTATGCTCTGGGGTGCTGGAGGAGCTTGCGTAGAGCCCGGCCTCTATGTCCCCTCTGCCCAAATCCTGCAGGGAAGCTGTCACGGAACGAGTGGTGGTGGGGGTGAGTGACACACTGCACTTCACTCGTGGGAAAGAAATAGGAATAGGTTTTATTGGTAATGACAATGGTTTCATGAGATTCTATGGCAAGGTCACTTACTAGTTACTGCATGGAGGTTCAAGACAAACAGAATTACCAAGGACACCCTCCCACTGGGTCAGGAGGTTCAGATTGGACCCCTTTGCTTTCCAAACTCCTTCTGAGAGGAGTCTGGGTGCAGCTGAATCCAGTCCTAGTCCCAGACCTGGTCAACGGTTTATGTCTAAGGGATTTGTGCACAGTTACAAAGTAAGGTTTACAAATTCAGAAAGAGAAAGGCGTGCTATAGTCACTTACCACGAATCTGTAGTGGGAAGGATCTCTTAACCTCGAGGAGT